TGTTCTCGCTTTTGTTTTAAATAATAATAGTATTGAGCTTTGCCTTTTGTTTCGTTTTTATTCCAACTAAATATAAATGAAAATAAGTTTAATTATGATAAATAATGAAATGATGAAATCTGATGATAAATGATAATAAGTTGATACAATCTGAAGACTGTTGATACAGTGCAGCAGTGAAGTTTTATAGTTTATTTAACTTATTTTAACTCTCTCTTTTAATAATAACTTTGATTTATTCTTAGGATTTCACTTTCACGTTTTATTAGTTATACATATTTTTAATTACCTATACTTTTGGTGAATGCTTTGAGCAAAAGACTTTGATTCACACATCTTGTTCTTTGACGCTACCAACCATGAGACTGCACAAGACAAACGTCAATGACATTTACGCTGTGCCGGAACAGGAGGCCGGAGGCTTAGGTCTCGTTGGCTCCTACGGCCCCGCAAACTAGGGGGGAGACACAGACAACCCCTACAGCGGATAATGGTGGCTTAATTGGTGGGATTGAGTGTTTTAATTAATGATGACGTTTGGAGTTGTTCTTGTGCTGATGTTCTTGAGTGTTTCGAAGATTTTGCCAAAGCATACAATGATGATAGTTAAAGGTTAATGAAGACTGGTGTAGAGTAAGATATTGTTCAGTGCGTACGTGATTTAAGTGTTTACTTTGAGTTTTGTTTATTTTAATTTGATTTACCAGCTTTAAACCTTTAGCTCTTATCATATTTATTGATTTCATGCATTATTGGTTTACGAATTTATGGTGGAATCGTCTTTGTGTATTTTGTCGTTTTTTCCGTTGTGACGTTTGATTTCTGTGTTTGTCTTTGTCTTTGTTTTTGTCTTTGTCTTTGTTTGATACGATGGTTAGGGAAAGGAGGAAGAAGTCTCAGCCTGCGCCTGAGCTGGAGGATGAATCTCGCCTCAACCTTGATGATGAAATCCTTCTGGTTGATGAGGTCACGGAGTTGAGGGGGATGATTAAAGAGTTAACGAATCAGGTAAAGCGTCTCGAGAGGGAGAAAGAGAAGGACCGTGACGAGATAAAAGGTTTATTGGAAAGGTTAACTTTGAGGCTAGACTCTGGTGCCACTACAAGTGCTGCAGAACCGCAGGGTGCCACTGCGCTTTCACCTCACACGTCACCTGTGAGAGGCGCCATTCCGCGAACTACCAGGCGGATAATTGTGAGAGACACATCACCGATGCTCACTCCCGCGAATTTTAGTATTCAGGCTGACTCACAACCGCAGGTTACTGTTGACCCTTCATCTTCTGCAAGGCCCACAGTTGCTCCCCGCACACTGTTTACGCCTCCGGGTCAGCAGATGACACGGATACAAAATAGTGGTATCACACAATCTACATCACAGCCAACTTATCTAATAGTTTCTGATCGAGAGTCTATTTCGAAGTTTAAAGCTGAAGCACCAGCTTCTCAGCCACTTCGCAGAAATCAAGAAGTCGAAGGCTGGATTAGGCAGCTTGAAAATGCAGTCAAGCCTGCCACTGATGAGGCTCTGATTCAGGCTGCAAGAGCACATTGCAGAGGACAGGCTGAGTTGATAATCAACTCGCCCATATTTGATGACATCTTTTCGTGGGTAGAGTTTAAACAAAAGCTACGACAAAAATTTAGAGGAACGTGCTCAGCCTCGGACTTTTTCACTCTACTCTTTGAAGTGTGGATGCTTGCAGGGCAGGTTCCTCTTGATTTTTATGCAGTGGTTGAGGGAATGGTGTATCAAGGCTATCGAGATCACCGGGAAGCAATAGGTAGCCCTGAGGAGTTAATTCGAAGGGTATTTTTGCAAGGATTGCCCAGCTGGCTAAGAGAACTTCTCGCTCTTAAGGAAGGTGATTCACTTCAGTCACTTGTTGAAGCCTCACAGCGGCTATGGAATGCCAGAGTGGGAGTGTCTAGCCATGATGAACCTCCTAAACTTCCTGCAGAACCACGAAGATCTGGAATTGCAGAGATCTCTCGTGACCAGCCTCGTGCATATCGCCAAAGAAATCAGCGATCGACTATCACTTGCTGGGGATGTCAAAGAGAAGGTCATGTTCGAAGAGAGTGCCCCTTTCAGGATGGCCAGAGAGGAGGAGCTCCACTCACCTCTGGGTATCAAAGGAGCCCAAGAAAGATCAGCTTCCGAGGACCAGATTTTATACAAAGGAGAACGACAGTTGACAGAGGCTGCGGTCCAGACAATATCTGAGATTACTGAGATTACTGCTCAAGGACCATGTGGGAGACCTCTAGTGAAGATTCATGTTGGAGGAGTAAATGTTACAGCTTTTATTGATACTGGATCTGAAGTTACTTTGCTTAAAATGGGTGCGTCACAGACAATGACTCCAAAAAGAACTTATCATGAGGGACGTGGTCTTCGAGGAGTTTCAGGCCGGCTCTTCGAGGCTACATCTGAGTGGGATGTTGATGTATCTATTGGTAATGGCAGGAGAATCCGAAAGTGTTGTCACAGATTGTGTTTGGTGGAGGGTATAGATTTTCCAGGGGATGTTCTTATTGGTATGGATTTTCTACAAAGGTTCTGTTACCAGTTGGTACATAATCATACTCCACGAAAAGATTACCTGAAGCTTCAAGGGATAATCCTTCCTATAACTTATGCTATTGGGACGACTTTAGGTATTACTGCTGTAGCAGAATTCACTCCAAGGAATCACTGTCAGAAGTTAGCTCTCAGGAGAACCACTCTATGTCCTCCTCGTAGTGGTCGTTATGTTTCGGTGACTGTGCCTCAGACATTCAATGATAAGGAAGTGCTTCTAGAATCAGCCACTGACAAAGTTGTCGTTCCTAGGACAGTAGTTGTGCCTGAGAATGGAATTGCTTCTGTTTGGGTAGTGAATGGAGGAGCTCGTCCCATTCACCTGCAAAATGGTACACACATGGCAACTGGAGCACTTTGCACAGTGGTGGAATTGAAGCAGTCACCTGAAGGATCTTATCCTGTTGAGGAACAGTTAAATGATAACTCTGCTGATGCTGAACTTTCACCTGAGGAATTTAAGAATAGCGGTGATGCCTCTGATCCAGACTTTAGATTTGAGGATGATGATTTTGATGTAGCTCACGGTCAAGTAGACTTCGGTTATGATGACAGTGACTTTGTTGTTTTTCCTGAGACAAGTTTAGATGATCCTCCAGACATTGCATCGGTTACTATGGCAACTGACGATCAAGAAAATGGTCCAGATTTGAGCCATTTATCAGACAAGCAACGTGAAGGTATTTTGACACTATTGGCTAATTATCCACGTCTTTTTAGCTCAGATAAGTTTTCTATTGGCACTGTGCCAGATGTTCAGCACTGTATCCCTACACATGAGACTCAGCCTTTATGTACACGCCAGTGGCGACTACCTGAAGCAGCTAAACAACAGATACGGGAGGAGTGCGATGCCATGCTTGGGGCTGGTGTGATTGAACCAAGCACATCACCCTGGCTCTCACCTGTAGTGCTTGTTAAAAGAAGGATGGAACAGTTCGCTTCTGTGTAGATTATCGTCGGCTGAACTCTGTGACAATAGCTGATACCTACCCTTTGCCAAGGATTGATGAGCTGGTGGATAAGCTCAGAGAAACAGCAGTCTTTTCACTACTTGACAGTAGGAGTGCTTACTGGAGTATCCCTGTGGCACCTGAAGATAGGCCAAAGACGGCATTCAGCAACGGTTATCGTCTTTTTCAGTGGCGACGTATGCCATTTGGTTTGTCTACGGCACCTACAACTTTTCAGCGGACTATGAATGCCATTCTTAGCCCAGTTCTCGGCCGGCATACATTAGCTTATCTGGACGACATTGTTGTCTACAGTAAGGACTTTGACGAACATCTGTGTCATCTGAAAGAAACGCTGGATATATTAGATTGTGCTGGATTCAAGCTAAATGTTAACAAATGTGAATTTGTTGTAAAGAACTTCAGGTTCTTAGGATTTCGAGTTACTCCTGAAGGTATTCTCCCTGATCCTGACAAAGTTCGAGCAATTGCGGAGATGCCAGCCCCAAAAACAGTCAGGGGGGTAAGAAGATT